TGTGGGGAATCGAACCCGGGCCTTTGGCGTGACGAGCCAACGCTTTAACCACTAGGCTACCCCACCGCCCCCAAAAGGGCTGGAGAACCTAGACCTACCGTGTAAGCCAATGTAATTCTACGTTATCGTCAGTAATATTACAGCTTTATCACAACGGACGGCAAATGATCAAATCCTGACCAACCAAATCACTGTTTACCCGCTGGTCAATAGCATGAGTAATCAGGGTTCGAAATACCTGCCTGCCCAACACGTACTGCAAGATTCTCAAATTCACCTGCCCGACGGTCGGGTTCAAATTTAGACATGTATATGAAAATATTTTGTGGGCAGGTAAGCTTTGGTCAGGGCTGGCAAGTTTTACATCCAACCACCCCCAGCTGTGGTCTGGGTGAAAGTTTTGAAGTTTCATACCCTGGAGTAATCTTCCAAGCGGTACAGCAAGACTCACAATCCTCGGGTCACACATAGTGACAATTCTTGCAATAATCTGTAACACCTTTGTATTTTCCGAATCCTTCTGGGGATACCTACAACATGCAGAGGTGCAAGGGGTGAGTGAGTGAGTTTGGTTTTACGCCGCTTTTAGCAATATTCCAGCAATATCAAGGCGGGGGACACCAGAAATGAGCTTCACACATTGTACCCATGTGGGAAATCGAACCCGGGTCTTCGGCGTGACGAGCGAACGCTTTAACCATCAGGCTACCCCACCGCCCCAGAGGTGCAAGGGGAAGGATCACACCGTTTGATGGTAGCGAAAATGAAAGAAAACACGAAATGATTATTGCATGATGATGTATTTGATACAGGTGTATCACAGGTGTACACTATAAGTTTGCAGTGTGTGTAGGCGAGTCTAGTGACGTTTTACAACATTTGGAATTTCTAGTTCAAAGTGTATACCTTCTTTTGACTGGCGATATATATCCTGTGAATGATCAAACAGCAAATACACATAGACATTGGAAATTTCACAAATATAATACCTCATCATACACTTTTGTGATCCAGAGGAATGTGTGTTCATGACAATCACATTCCAATTTTGTCGACTTTGAATTGTTTCTTAACCTCTAAACGTGCAGTGTATATAAGTGTATATATACCCACCTGTCCGTAAGAGGCTTTGAGGATTTATGGTAAGGGAACAATCGCCAGAACACACTATGCTTAGTGACTTAGTCCGCCCTATATAAATGAGCTCACAGCTTACCTCGCACGGGAATTTGACCTATATCTGGAGAGTAAAGGTGATCTCGACAGGATGTTCCTCGAGAGAGAGAGTTACAGGATGTGAGGAAGGAAGGGCACAAGGGATGGGAGGGAGGGTGTGGGGTGGGTCCTATAATTGCTCAACATTTACAATGGTTCTATGTATGTACTTGGTCGCTGAAAGAGGGGTAGTGTTTCTCCACTAATATTCCGGTCTGATGACAATAGATACGGGTTACAGTCCGCGAGGCCTAAAATTCACACCTAATAAATCCCACAAGGCCTAATTACAGCAGTTAGCCCACATGACATAATTATAATGAGGTAATTGGGGCGTGAAACAAGAGTGGGAGAGGCCACTGATCAGTGGACGGGGGTCACTCTGTTAGGGTTAGTTTAGTAATGAGATTTGTCTACTGTGAAAATTGGAAAGATGAAATCACTTACTGTTAATCTTAATAAGATTAGATCTATTATTACTGGAGGAGTATTTACATGAAGTGGATATTAATCAGTTTCCTTCTCCACCTAACATGAGAAGGACGAAACTTGCTATAGATTAGACATATTTGACTTTGTGAAGCTGATCAAGCTTTTGTATATTTGGCTCGAGCTAATAACTGCATGTACCTTTACACTAACGCTCAAACTAAACGTACCTTCAAATCTGTACAGCAAAAAAGGTTTTGCACAAATGTGGTAGTGGTAGTCACTTGAGCCATCGGATAATACAAGTACACCGTGGTACTCATGGGAGCACAGTGGTACTCACGGGAGCGTAATGGTACTTACAGGTACAAAGTGGCACTTACAGGTACATAGTTGTACTTACAGGCCTTATACGTGCACAGTGGTACTTACAGGTACACAGTGGTACTTCCCAGATGCACGGTGGCACTAACGGGTACACAGTGGTACTCACACTACCGTAGTTAGTACTCAGAGGATTCGTTGGTACGTACAGGTACACAGTGGTACTTATAGGTACACAGTGGTATTAACAGGAGCTCCGTGGTACTAACTCCGAACATCCTCCGTCATTTGGAACAGTCACCAGGCTTTTGTCAGGAATGATATAGTGTGGATTTCCGTTGTCTTCAACGTGGTGGCACACCCAGAGGTATAACAATAATGATTTAATGAATATTCATATACACTTTAAATAGTGATAACTGAATTAATAGCGGTCGACTAATGACAACACATGGGTGAAACGGGATATTATCGCGCTACATACAATAAACTTGCACAAGTCTCTGAGGCAATAATTATCAACTGAAATAATACTTTATAGTTTCTGTATGTAAAGTGAACAAGTTGTCACTATAAGAGACTGGCGCCCGGATCCACTCATTGAGACCTGCTTATTACAAGGATGTAATTACTATATATCTATGAACGTATCATTCAGTACAAGTTATTGGCGATTTATAGCCCATCTTTATACTGTATTGTTTTTCCCCTATAGTTAAAACGTTTTAGATTTATTTACTAGTTTTACATACACATCTGTGATATTCTAGTTGTTTTACTAACCTTCGTCGGCAGGTTTTTTATAATATACATATATTTCATTTCAATATCATATGTTCTCGTCACGAAATGGCTGAAATATTGCCGATGTGACGTTAAATATTAACTCACTCACTCACTCACTCATTCAGTACAGTCGTGGAGCAAGGCTAGAAATAATTATTCATTATCACTTCAACCGAGTAATGATGCACGGTTAAGGGTGTATTGGTGTTGTTTTATATTAGCTGTATACTAAGTAGGTCACGTGACCGACAGACAATGGCAAGTGAGTGAATGAGTTTAATTTTACGCCGCTTTTAGCAATATTACAGCAATATCACGGCGGGGGTCACCAGAAATGGACTTCACACAGATTACCCATGTGGGGAATCGAACCCGGGTCTTCAGCCTGACGAGCGAATGCTTTCACTACTAGGCTACCCCACCGCCCAAGACAATATCAAGGGAAATCAGAACTGGTGGATGACATCATGAACACCAGTCCACTTCGCGGAGGTAAGGTGACGCTAAGCATCCCCATTGTGTCAGTCTGATCCTCATTAGATTTTTACAAGTATTTGTAAATAAACCGTCATTTAAAAGTAAGGGGAATGCTGAGTTCTCTCCCGACCCTTACACACGCGCGGGGCGGTGGGGTGGCCTAGTGGTTAAAGCGTTCGCTCGTAACGCCGAAGACCCGTGTTCCATTCCCCACATGGGCACGATGTATGAAGCCCATTCCCGGTGTCCCCCGCCGTGATATTGCTGGAAGCGACGTAAAACCAAACTAACTCACTCAGTCACAAACGCGTACAGACAGCATAGGCGGATCCAGAGGGGGGTGGAGGTGCAGGGGTGCGCACCTCCCCCCCACCCCCACCCCCACACACTTTTGCACTGAAAGTTTATTAAATGATCATTGAAACTCGGGTGAAAAGGAAGTGTGCATCCCTCTTTTCTCAATAGTGTGCACCCCCACCCCCGACCCCCACCCTCCCTTTGTGCACTTTGTCACAACACCTCGGTCTGTTAGATATGTATAAGCTTGGTTTGTAGCAATTTTCCAATATCTTAAACCCAAAACACCCCGCCACAAATGCTCACACACCTACAACGAGGTACACACCAGCTGACACAGCAAGGTGACAACATGCGTTATTTATTGGTTTCACGTTTACATGCACAACAGGTGGTGGGTGTTCTGGATCATGACCTTGCTTAACTCACGTATTAAAACCTTCACGACATTGTGTTACACTGATGATGCTGTAGCATGAGTGAGTGATTGTGTGATTGTTCATGATAATTAATATAATCATTGACTACCACAGTTACACTGTTATGTGTTTAAATACGCAACGTTTCGGGGCTACTTTTGTTCTCTTGTGAACAAGTGGGTGATGTGCTTCTCTGTAAAAACTGGACTCACCAAACTAAACAGTTCACACACTCGTACGACAAGCGGGGCCAATTGCTGAGAGAGAATGGCACATTTAGTGTTATGATTCGTATCAGTGCATGATGCAATTGAATATTGAACTATTTTTTAATTAAAATAAAAGTTAAACCTAAACGATAAGAAAAATAGTAATTCACCATTGGCCTCAAATACTATACTGATTACTATTTTGCTATACTATACAATAATAACATACAGTTGTGTGTGAATATTACTCTATACGATACATTATAAATGTCGCTCTCACAGAATGTATTTTATTTGATGGTCTCTGCTCTAATGTATTTAAATCGTTTTTAGAAGAAATTTAGCCTTCTGAATAAAACAAGAAGCATGGGAGTTTGTGTTGATATTTTCTCACGTGTTTATTATGCTGTATACTTTTTACAACATCTCTTCACAAGATCTTTATGTATCCGCGTACAGTAGTGAGTGGCCGGTTGCATCAGCGCTTAATCACGTGAGCACCGAGTTGACATGTTTGCTTATGTGTCTTTTGACCTCGTCATATGTTTAATCTCAAATAAGACTTGAACCGTTTGTGAAATACTTTCGCAGCAATAATTTCCTGTATGTAATTTAATATGGTACTCAACTTGTCAAAACCTCCCAGAGGAATATCTTATACACCAAGAACTTCGGAATTACAAAATGTCTCTGACGTACACATTGTACATCGCATTTTGTTTACCTTTTAGTGGGCTTTACTGCGGTGACATTTCACTGTTGACCTCCTTTGAAAATACGATTGGTTAAAATCAGTCATGTGCTCGACACACCTCCAACCGGAAGGTCACCTCAAGGACGTCTGTTGGCCAATCAAATGAAAGTGTTTATCGACCATATCATTCGTGCTGTGCGTTGCAGTCAGGTGAAGAGGAATAATTCATCAAACTTGACGATTCTTTCGTGTAGAGAGGGAACACACAGGTAGCAAGATGTTGCGTCGTGTTTCAAGCGAACTATTCCAGATCTCTCAAAAAGCTGGAGTTCGAAATGCTGTCAGGGCGACGACCGTTTCTAGGCCATATTCATCCGAAATTGCAGAGAAAAGTGACGACGAACTGAGTTTTAACGAAACAGTCGACAAATTCTTCGACAAGGCTTCTGCGTTAATCGAAGAAAGACTTGTCCATGATGTTAAAGGCAGGAATATGACTCATGAAGACAAAGTTAAACGAGTACGCGGGATTTTGAAGATAATTAAACCTTGCAACCACATTTGTTCGATGTCATTTCCAATCAAGCGAGACAACGGAGAATATGAGGTTATCGAGGCATACAGAGCCCAGCACAGTCAGCACAGAACACCATGCAAAGGAGGTGACACATTAGTCTAAAAATATATATATATATGTGAAATTTCCCTTTCTCTCTTGAATGTATGCGTATTATCAGATGCATTTATATCTGCCATGAATGATACTTGAGTAGATAGAAGCATTGTCATGTTGTGCTGATAATAGACATACGGTTTTTTTATGATTTAAGACATAATTATTTCATTATAAATGAGAGGGACGTCGTCAGATTTTGCTGAACCGAACTGGTTCCTGGGTAATTTGAAGTGCCCATAAAATCACCACTTGAAGGACAATAAGGACATAAGCTGCTGGCAGATCTAATTTGATGTAACTAGAACTATGACTTTTGTGTAAGTCCTATGTTATTAGTAAGTCAAATATATCTGAATTATCTACTTATTAACATTATCGCGAATACTGGCATGTATGTGAAAGCTAATGTAACATATTTATCGTCCAAGGTATCAGATACAGTCCTCTTGTCAATGTTGATGAAGTAAAGGCTCTTGCTGCTTTGATGACCTACAAGTGTGCTGTTGTGGATGTTCCTTTTGGTGGTGCTAAAGCTGGTGTAAAGATTGATCCCTCAAAATACTCAGAAAATGAGTTGGAAAAGATAACAAGAAGACTGGCAGTTGAACTAGCTAAGAAAGGCTTCATTGGTTAGTCATGATAGAATGCCATTTTTTTTACCTCTGTACCATTGTGTCAGCTAGTTTGATGAACAGTCATTGTACAACACAGCTGAGAATGAAAATCTCATTTTAAACCATATGTGATTAAAACCTCCTATAATTTACACTCTGGGTAGATATGTTTGGGTCTTTATGGACAAATCAAGAGTGAAATAGTTACAATTATATATCTCATTCAGTTTTGATGTGGGTTTGTTTCTGAAAGCATTAAATAACAAAAACCTGGAAATCTGTGGACCAAGCACAGTTCGTCAAGGTGTTAACATGTTACTGCTGCATACATTATGTAGGTCCAGGCATCGATGTACCAGCCCCGGATATGGGCACTGGTGAGAGAGAAATGGCCTGGATTGCAGACTCATTTGCCAATACTCTGGGTATGTAGATCATCATCAAACATTTAATATGTATAATCTAACCTTGTCATATCTTTCACAATCATAAGGTGCGGGCATTGATGTCCCTGCCCCCGACATGGGTACGGGAGAGCGTGAGATGAGTTGGATTAGTGACACATATTCACAGACTCTTGGTAAGATACAGTGAAGGTATATCACACACTCGTTTCAAGCCAAATGATATTTAATACTCACACAGTTTCATATTGATTTTCCATGTTTTAGTGAATACGATAGTTCGGTTTATCTGATTTCTAAAATCAATCTTGTTTTTTGTTATGTGGGATTAAATGAAATCTTGTATATATTTTCTCGTATTGTGCTCATTGTTGCCTGTACATATAAAATTATTCTGTCCAGAAACTTCAAAACTGATTGTCCTTCACTCAATCATTTTGACTCGACAATAAGTCGTATCTGGTTTGAATTGCCTCTGTGCACTATTACATGATCTTTTTTGCTTATTGCCTGGGATACTGATCAGAAGGACATTTGTCTAAGGCTGGTATCAGGTTTCATCACGATTAATGATACGAACTAACGTTGTTACAACTGTTAGGTTCAAAATGTTTGAAAAATCATTAATGAAGGAAAGATCATGGTTGAGCATGTTCCAAATCGTTCATATGAGCTGTTAAACTTTAAATACTTGACATCATTTTATATTTTGTGGATATTGAGTTTAAATACTATAGTTTGGCTTGAAATCAGTGAGTTTCAAGGCCCCGGGTTTGACAACAGGCTTGCTTGCTTCTCTGGTTTTGTTGTGGATTCGGGATCTATTTGTTTATGTTTGTTGCCTTTTCTATTTTAATACAACTATAACTTCTGTCTTCTAACATGTCTAATGCAGTATAGAATAAGCAGGTTATTTTGATGGTGATGTCAGTACCAACTGTGTGATCTGTACAAATAGACACTCAGTTCTATTTTTACTCTATATGTAGTATAAATACATTTATTTTTTTTACATTTTTGGTCCCCTCCATCAAACAAGACATTTTTTGTTGTGTTCATTTTTTTAATTTGGGTTTGTTAATTCTGTGTCTATTTCATTCTCTGCATTGTTTAGTCTTTTTAATGCCACTTTTACAAAATATGTTTCTTTGATCCATGTTGATTAGATGATAATAGTTGGATATGATTCTTTCTTATTATCCATACTAAATGAGGGAGTCATTGATACACATTGATACAGGTTGTATCTCATGTTCAATTTCTTGACAGTGGGGCTTTATCAAATCTCTATTTGCAAGCCTATTTACGCGTTGGTAATGAGTTTTTTAGTATGTGGTAGCTTTCGTATTTACTCAAGCTTTTTATGTTCCATCATATACACATGTGAATAAACCACTTGGTCTTGCTTCAGTTGGAGTGGAATGAATTTGATCTAATGATTAAGATGATGTCGTCTGGAGATTGTCTTGAACTACTTAGAACCTGATATTGGGCTTTCAGTCAAAATTCCAAATTGGAATTTAACATTTCATTAGTCATGTTATGTTTGAGGTGACTTGTATTTCACTGACAAAAACACGATTGGGGGTATTGCTTAGGTTAACATTATTGCATTGAATGCAGTGTTAAAGGTACATACAGTCATTCCCTCGCAATAATGCCCTTAGCGATTCCACAGTCTTGGTTAATCCTTGGCCCCTATAAAACAAAAAAGAGTTCCCTGTGATCACACATCTTCATACCATCGTAAATAGCATATCAACCAATCTGCTAGTGTTCGCAGGTTAGTCATAATGTGAGGATTAACTAGCGAAATTCAGTGTGGATGGTAATATGAAGTGTCCATTGAATATCCTTGTTGTATTATTGATTTTCAGATGCTTAAGAAACATTTGCTGTACCTCTGAATTAAGGATAAACACTTTACAAGAAGTCTTAATTTCAAACAAAATAACAATTATTGCCAATTTCCGTACTAGGGGCACTTAGTTTGGAATGCTAAATAGATCTCAGGTGTTTTACTGGTCCATGGGGTGACAATGTAGTGCAACTTTCATTACAGAACCAAAGTGTCTGTTGTCATTCCTGTGGTAGTGAGTTGAATGACTGACCATGCACTTGCTTCCCTAATACTGAGATCACTTTTATGCCAGCACGCTGACGTACTTAACATCTATGATCCACTACAGTGAACGTTTCATAATCTTTACAGTGTTAATTGTTGCCTATGCGATATCATATTTCTTGTATCAAAGATTTGTGGAAGGTTTTCCATGCACTGAAAAAAACCTAAAATCATTTATTCTTAGGCAAATACATATTATCAGCAAATATTACTTTATTTGAAAGTGTCAAGATTTAATTTGATATGATGTGTAGGAGGAACTTCTACATTCTTAGGAAAGGTGCAGGGCTAAGTTTGATACAGATCTTGTATATTTTTTCAAGAATAATCATTGTTACTTGTTGTGTAGCTGAAGGTGGGAGTCACTGTCCGGAGTATTAGTGAGCCTTGCTTTCAACTTTTGTCTTGTTTACTATAGTAACTGTAGATAGATCTCTAAGTTTTGTTTATTTTGTGGAAGCCATGGCTGGCAATTCAACCACGATAAGTAGGATGTTTTTCTAAAAATATTTTCAGTTAAGGCCAGACCAGTTAATTGGATTTCTGTATAAGCCTACCCTTAATTTTGTAAACAGGAAGATGAAAAGGATCAAACATCCAGAATGACGTGTTTGGTTGACTTGTTCAGAAGTGAATTGAATTCATAAATGAATGGCTTCCTATGTCAAGTAGCACTTGTTGTTACTTTTGTAAGTTTCATTCAGATACTTTTTTCCGAGGAGCATTTTTAGTAAATATTGTGTTACTGTGTTTTTATGTTAATGGGGTGATGGTGTGGTGGAGTAGCCTAGTGGTGAAAGTGTTTGTTCATCTCACATAAGTCCTGGCCCCGATTTCTCGAAACAAACTTAAGTCTGAGTTTTGACTTAGTTAGAGTTTTTACTCAAATTTGAGAAAAGGCAGGAAAATGCATTTCCCAGAAAGAACTGAAATTGATATTAAACTCAAACATAGTAGGCAATTTGAGTTTAGTGGATAGAATACTTAAGGTGTTTGGGCTTATTTATTTTTAAAATGCAGTTGAGTTAAAAATTCAGTTGTTTCAAATTGTCAAACTCAGTTTGAAATTTGAGTAAAAACTTAAGTTTGTTTTGAGAAATCAGAGCCTGGTTTTGGTTCCTTACAATTTCCATGGGTACAATGTGTGAAGATTATTCCTGGTGCCTCTAATCATATTACTAAAATGTTGCTAATGGTGGTTTTAAATAATATTCAAGATGTTGTTAAGAAAAGCTTAGTAAAGATTGCTTGAAGGTGTAAATCATAACCAGGAAATGTTATAGGTAACTAACAGGATCGTGTTGTCAGTTTTACTGACTTGGTTGAAACATGACATCGTATCCCAGTTGAGCAGATCGATGCTTATGCTGTTGATCACTGGTTTGTCTTGTCCAGACTCGATTATTTACAAACTGCAGCCATATAGCTGGAAAATTGCTGAATGTGACGTTAAACAACAAACAAAAACACACATAACCAGGGAAAGAAAGACTACTGGTCTGACCTACATAGCCTTTTTTATCTGATCAGTTATGCTTGCTGGTAACAGTGTACAGAGTTTTGTAATGATTTGGTCCAACTGTAACACACTTTAATAAATTAGAATTGTGCAGTGTATCATTCTCTAGTAATACTTATAAAGGTGGGTTGTGGTTTGGCCACCATTGAGACAGTGACTCCATGTTGGGATGTCTACTTATCATGGAGATCTATCCATGATCTGGAACAAGTTTGTTATGAGGAAGGAAAAACAATTAGGCCTACATGCTATTTCGGACACAACCGGAAAATAGTTTCTGCCCATGTGAGCAGACTTTGTGTTTTGTTACTACTGGGAACACCTAAATTTGAATTACTAAGGTAGTTCCACTAATGTTCAGTGACCACTGTGTATGAAGTGATCTTAGCTCTATGATGAACTCCCTTACTCTAGCATAGACTTTAGATAGTTGTAGCACTAAGGTTGCTTCATGCAAGTGGGTCCATGCTGCCCTGTTACACGTTCACCTAATTTCAGAGTCCATGTATCTGAGGATGTTTGAAACTATGTTAAAGAACTGTCACACTATTGCCATGTTCACATTTGCCATGACTGTCACCTTCACCTCATCCTTGCATCATGACATTCTAATCATTGCTCAGCATTCTAATTCACTTTTACTAATCTTGAAACTTCAATCGCTTATCCAATCTTCTCTTAAATTCTATTTTGACAATAAATTGCATTTCTAAATATTTTGTCAGCATGTATACTGAATTTAAATTTATCCTTAGAAATCTGATGACCAAATATGACCAAATATGACCAAAAATGGAATTGTTCCTATTTTAGACACAAATGTAAATTCAGGTGATGTCTAGTAGCTCTGTAAAACACGAAAAATAAGAAATCCTGTAACTACGGTAACTGCAGTGTCTAATTTCAAAACTTCAATAAGATATTTAAGTTTATGAAAATCTCCTTTCACTGCTAAAACATTTTCCAACTTTAATAGGGAATAAACAGTCACATTAACAACCACAAGTTTCATGTCTTCATCATCACAAAACAGTGTTGACTTTGTCATCAGAAGTACATTTGTGTCTACAGGACACTATGACATCAACGCTAGAGCATGTGTGACCGGCAAGCCAATCCCCCAGGGAGGAATACACGGACGTATCTCAGCTACAGGGAGAGTGAGTATACCACATGGTGTCTGTAGCTGGTGTCATTGTTAGATGCGGTACTCACTGGGTACCACTGTTGTTGTGACCGCCTCCGTGATGTAGTGGTTAGAGCGTCCGCCCGGAGAGCGGAAGGTCGCGGGTTCGATCCCCGACTGCGTCATACCAAAAGACGTTAAAATATGGTACTTGTTGGTCCCTGCCTGGCTCTCGGCATTAATGGGTACAACAAGGACTGGTCGGCTCGGAGTCAGTATAATGTATCTGAGTGGGGTATTCATGCTTCACTGCGGTATGGTATCTCAGTGGGCTAGCACTATAAAACCAGCTTAAGTCTGGGCTAGTACAAGCAGCCACACATACACATACACATACACACGCATGCACCTCGTCATATGAGCGAAATATTGTCAAGCACGATGTAAAAACCAATTTCACCCTACCTCACCACTGTTGTCAGTTTGTGGTGTTGACTTACCATGATACCAGACGTATGAAATGGTCATTCTTTCATCTCACAGTCCAGTGACCAGTCCTTTCTTGAGACATGCCCAGAAGACTGATGAAAACCTTAATTCAACAGTTAATCTTGTTAGAGGAAGGAAAAAATGTTTGCTTTGTTAACAGTTTTTCAGTTATATGCATTATGTAGTATGTAAAAGAAAATTGGGATGCAGCTAAGTGCCATCAAAACACTATTGCATCATTGTTTTGAAAAGAATGAAATACTTGACCTATCTTTATCAGCGTGGAAGTGTATATGGCTGGATATATGTATTACTTCAGTTCAATACTCAGCGAATGTTTCAGGGTAGGTGACTGAATGTTTCAGGGTGTATAACTGAATGTTTCAGGGTGTATAACTGAATGTTTCAGGGTGTATAACTGAATGTTTCAGGGTGTATAACTGAATATTTCAGGGTGTATAACTGAATGTTTCAGGGTGTATAACTGAATGTTTCAGGGTGTATATCTGAATGTTTCAGCATTTATAACTGAATGTTTCAGGGTGTATTTCACGGAGTGGAGAACTTCATTAACGAGGCCAGCTATATGAGTATGGTTGGACTGACTCCAGGATTTGGAGACAAAACTTTTATTGTGCAGGTGTGTACTGGTAGTTTCTTTATGTTAATACTGTAAATAACTTGTATGTTGATTATTCAATTAAATCATACTGACAGTTCTACTTTGTAAATGTAAACTTAAATGTATATGACCTGTACATAAATCAGTATGCACTCAGATTATGGTCTCAATTCCCTTGAGGGGAACAGAGGTTTATATTTTGGCTTGAAATGTTAACCGTTAGGGTAGTGTATGAGTGAGGAACCTATATTTCTTCAAATATGGCCTACGATATTTTTGTAATGTGTTGTATTGCAGGGCTTCGGCAATGTTGGCATGCACAGTATGAGGTACCTGCACAGAGCCGGGGCCAAGTGTGTGGGTATTGTGGAGTACGACGGAAGTATCTACAACCCAGAGGGAATAGACCCAAGGGAACTGGAGCTCTACAAGATTGTACGTCTTTACTTTCATCCCTGTTATGTTTAAGGGTTAAATAGTGAGTGAGTTTAGTTTGACGCCGCACTCGGCAATATTCCAGCTATATTATCATAGTATTATTATAGTATTATAGTATATTTATATAGCGCACATATCCATGCAACTGGTGCATGCTAAAGGCGCTGGTATCTTTCCCTCGATCATTGGATGTCAGTCTCAACGGCACATCGTATTATCAATCTCAACTCCCTGGGGAGTATTCAACTCTTGCTGCCACTAGGCGCACCGAGTTATTGTGGCTTTCTCATCATATGGCGGTGGTCTGTAAATAATCAAGTCTGGACCAGACAATCCAGTGATCAACAGCATGAGCATCGATCTGCGCAACCAATGACATGTGTCAACCAGGTCAGCGAGCCTGACCACCCTATCCCGTTAGTCGCCTCTTACGACAAGAATGGGTTAATGAAGATCAATATTCTAACCCGGATCTTCATGGGTATAGGGGTTAAATACATTAAAAATATCCAATGACAGTATTGAAATATAGGACAGAACTTATTATATAGTTGTCACTGTGTGATCTGCTGTCATGGACCGCAGGTATCAATGTTTTTGATAGCTATAAACTGTTTGTACAACTGGATTTGTTTGTTTGCAGGAGCATGGGACTGTTGTTGGTTTCCCTGGAGCCCGTGCTTACGAAGGAGACCTGTTGTGTGAGAAGTGTGACATACTGGTGCCGGCAGCCAGTGAGAAACAACTCACCCTAGAGAATGCTCACAGGATTCAAGCCAAGGTACACCTTTTGTGGCATTGAAGTGTTTCCACCAGAATACTGCACAATATTGCTTGGATTTACAGGATATGATCACAATGTTTTTGTGCTTATGATTGATTTAATTATTATATTTATGCAAGTTTACTTCAAATTGTTTTTGCAATTAATCAACATAAAAAATCTTGTTCGTGTACATTTTGCTAATCCACTTCGCTTGCACACCAGGTTGTATGTTTATACATCTGTAAATACAAAATATTATGATAAATATTTCAACCATTTAAATATACTCAACACACAATTGTGGTAACAGTTTAGCTCAGATATGTTCTTCAAAATGTTAATGTGAAACCTTTTTCAAAAGATCTAAGCTTTATACATTTAAACAAAAGATTATGGTAATCATTACATTTTATAGATTTGAATTAAGAAACATAAGAAAATGATGTTCACATTTCCTGTCATGTGCAGATTGTAGCAGAGGGTGCCAATGGACCTACAACAATGGGAGCTGACAAGGTGTTTTTGGAGAGAAATATACTTGTTATCCCTGTAAGTGTATAGATTTTATTGTGATGTTTAAACAGTAATGAAAATTCAACACGATTTGATGTGAACATTGAAATTCCTCACAGATACAACCCTGATTAGAGCTTGAACAAGATGCATATCGTGTGACCACATTTCCAGTCCTGGGACCAGTTTCTCTACATGATTGTAGAGCTATGATCACTGTAACTCCTATAATTAGGAAAATCATAGTGCTATGATTGATTATTGAAACAGGACCCCTGGGCCCTTATTCTTCAAACGTCCGTAGCCCTAAGAATTCTTAACTTTGGTCATAGCCAATGTGTTAAGAATGGGCTTAAGAAGTTTGTAGGGCTATGAACATTTCGAGAATAGCTAGCCTGGTATCACATAGCATTGCTTTTTAGATCATCATAATTGGTTCTGTTGATTTAGTTGGCATGTTATTCACACAATGGAGTCTGGTTTGTGTTCAGGACTTGTACATCAACGCTGGTGGTGTGACCGTGTCCTACTTCGAGTGGCTGAAGAATCTCAACCATGTCAGTTATGGCAGACTTACTTTCAAATATGAGAGGGAATCAAACTATTATCTTCTCGGTGAGTAATATAACAAAGCTGTGTTAATTTAATCATGCACGTTTATGACTAGCTGATGCCACACATTTTTTTATTCATTGTTCAGATATGTTTCTGAGAGAGTCTGATCTTAAGGCAAATTATCTCCTAATATTTGTGTTTATAATAAATGTGCTCTCAGTCTTAATCCAGAGGCCGTTTCTTTTAAACATATGCTTTATTTAGGATTACACTTCCTCAGTAAAGTACAGATTCTAGTACTTTTGTTGGATGCCACAGTGGCTGAGCAGGTTAGGCAGCTGACTTTTTGTGCTGGCGATTAGGTGCCTGACTCTGAGGGTGTGGGTTAAAATCCACAACCCAACAAAAGTTCTAGAATCTGTACTTTACTAAGAAGGTGTAATCCCAAATATAACATATGTTATACTGGTTCTTTTCTCCAGAGAGTGTTCAGAAATCCCTAGAACGCAAGTTTGGAAAGAATGTGGGCCAAGGCAGCATCCCCATTCTGCCAAGTGAAGAGTTCGAAGCTCGCATTGCTGTAAGTAGAAGTATTGAGAGTCTGAGAATAGAGTATTGAGTATTTAATAGACCGATGCCAGATAAGGAAAGAACTGGAATGTATCATAATTGTTTTAGTGTTTGACAATCTGATGAAAGTTTCAGCTACAATTGCTGATATCCCACATGATATGTATATCTGAACTTATTTCAACAGAAAGACGAAAACTGATTTATGCTTATATTAAATGGTCTTCCTCTTCAATCTTCTAAATGCCTAAGATTCATAAATTACCACAACAGGGTGCTTCTGAGAAGGACATTGTGCACTCAGGTCTGGACTACACTATGGAGAGATCTGCAAGGGTGAGTACTTCTTGTATAGCACCAGCACTTTTTGAATCCATATCATGTGTTTATGCACAACACACATACCACAGTCAACTTGGTGTTTTCTGGTTGACTTGACTTGGCAGGGGCCCTAGTGGCTAGACATAGGTTCTGTGGTGCTAACACATATCTTGTCTTCTGTGTTCATTCTGTACTGTGTTAATACTGTACTCAAACTATCAATCATGGATTCAGCCTGTTTGATTGTATTTTCTTAAAAAGAAAAGTTCTGACATAGATATTAATGAAATAATTACTTCACAATGGTAATGCAGCTGAAAAAGATGATTGACACATTTGTACCAAATTTCAGAACATCATGAAGACTGCCATGAAGTACAACCTTGGTTTGGACATGAGAACTGCAGCCTTCATCACGTCTATAGAGAAGATCTTCGGTGTGTACCAGGAGGCTGGTCTCACCTTCACATAACCTGCTTGTGCCTTGTCAGTAGCAGCAGTTTGCACTGTCTCTCCATCTTCTGCTGTTCGTAAACCGCGAATGAGGAGGATTTGTAGAATGTTGTGCAACTTGGATAGGGTTATGTTGTGCAGCACACTTTTTATGCAGATAGTGCTAGTTAGGTTAAACTCTCCACATCAATACAGTTTGCTTATATATGGGTGGGGAGGGGTTCCATGCACTGCCACCTGTGTAATATTCAGTGTGTGATACAGACAGGGGTTAATAAGTGTTGTACCATGACCCACGGCAACTATGAAGATAAGCTGAAATACTTTATATCACACAACCCATTTTAGGTATGTGGTTATGGGAGCAGCTGAATGGGAGTATGTAGCATATTGATGTAGGCTGTTATAAGACTACTGGTATGTATTTTTTATCCCGAGACCCCATCCAAAAACTCAGAAGTAGTTACCAGGTATACTGGTAGTGTTAATATTATTTTGAGTGTTGCTGGGTTGTATGTAATTGGGCATAAGGATGAGGGCTGTCTGTACTGTTTGATGGATATGTGGATATTGAAAAAACCTCCTCAGGATATTATGATTATTGCATGTAACAGGGCTGTAACATTCACATTGCTGCAATATGATTCATCAGTTGCACGTGCTAACAGATGCCATCCACAGACACATTGTTACATCAATGCATTTTAGTACCCCGACATAGGAGTTAATGGATGACAAATAGTCGCTGAGCTGAGTATGGTTTTACGCCGTTTTTAGCAATATTCCAGCAATATCACAACGGGGGACACCCGGATGACAAATACATATATAATTTGATGACATTCTTGTAGTCTCAGTAAGTGGCATAATGTTTCATAACATAGAAAGTTGTCTGATAAAGAAGTACTGGTATCAGTTTGTTTTGATTAAAGATATATGAATGTATCTTAGAAGTATGGCAAAGCACTGATGCTGAATGTGAATAGTTATAGCCCTAACATGCAGTCAGATCTTACCTAATAGTCCTAGCATCTTCATCAGCACAAATAGAGTTATCATCAGAGTTAATATTGACATCAGTTCACTGATTTCATAGTTGCATAGTTTACTTAGGTTTACAATCAATGATATTTTTCAACTGTTGATGTGATAGATGGTCGTTTTGTTTGATTAATCTCCATGTACTTATTGTGACCAAAAATAATCAGATTTGATTCCCTGTGTTTATCCTATTTTCAGTGATGATGGCAATCAATTGCTGTTATATTGTTAGATATATTTATTCAATGTTATGTTTTGATAGCAGTACAAGTGCTAAGAATGTATTCCTGTGAATATATACTGAAGAGAAAAACGAATGCTTTTCTCTCCCAATATTGGTAAGGAATCTCACGCTTTTGAGTGCTTCCTCATTGTACTACCCACTGCCCTGTGATCGTGAAACCTACTGTTGCATACGTTGGAGAAATTGAAAATGTACTCAGTGTAAGGAAATACATATCATAATCTGTGAAGTATAGTGATAATACAGTGATAATACAAATCAAAGAGCGCCCAATTATTTTGTCTGACAAGAGTCAATCTCTTGTAGTATGGGTGTCTTTGCAATATTAAGTTGCATGTAAGTGACAGTCACTTTAACCATGGTGACAGTTAAGACTACACAGCTACTCATATCTAAATGTAACCCTTTCACATTCTGCGGGTAAAAAGATGACACAGACCTCATTTTAATCTTCTGGATTAAGTTGTTTTTCATTCCAAAATATTCCATCAGTAACAATCACGACCTCAGCATCAGTTTCAAGTCTGTCACCATACCTTGAGTTGTTCATGAAACCAATATATATATTTTTTGATGCAGTATAGTTGCAGTAGGTTTCGCTAGATGGGTGTCTCTAGAAATCTCCTCAATTCTGTGTGAAAACACTACAGTAGTTACCATCTATGATTTTTACATCTGAATAAATATTTGTATACATGTGTTGATATTTGTTCTTGGAGTGCTGATATATGGAGGTTCGTGGCTCTTCATGAGTCACTTGTTTCCATGCCGGTACCCAATTTCAATAAATATTCTTAGTTGTTTAACACCCAATATCCTAGCCATATGATGGTGGCCTGTCTGGACAAGCCAATCTACTGATTTAGTGACCAACGATTCACATCTTTCAAGTCATCAAGTCAGATCACCTGATCCCTTTTCTAACCTGGAATCCCCTGGGAAGTCTCATGTCATGTCTTCCCACAGAAGCATACTGAAGTCAGGCATATTGAAAGATACTGGCACACGTTACACAGCACTGAACATAGTCATCATGTTAAGCGTTCTCTAAGTTTCTTTTAGCAAGGTAAATGTTTAATATGCTGCATACAGTTATAAGAAAACACATTGGGCCTGAAACCTTGAGAGATGATGCATGTTTTATTGATGTATTCATGACAGCTGGACTACAAATATCACATGCTGCAGTCTTGTCTGATTGTGGTGTACTTGTTTCTGTTCTTCATGTCCATATTTCCATCAGGACAGTCTCCCTCCAGTTCACCATACCATGAATCGGAATACTTCTGATACCAAGATGGACAATTCCTTCTATGTAAAATCCAGTGTCCAATCCATTCACAGCTCGCTTTTTCTTATCTCTGGCACATACTAAGAAACACTTGTACAACAGAAGTCTGTTCTGTTTCACTAAACACACTGACTAGATGATCAGTTGCTTGCTTCACTCTTCTCTTCTTCCTCATCTTCATCGTCTTCTTCATCAGCCAAGACCGACTTCTGTTTGCTGGTGTCGCCCACATACTTATCAAGTGCCACAAGAAACTGTTCCGCGGTGATGGTGGGGCTATCAACACAGCCTTAGTAACAAACTGACCTGAAATGAGAATCCAAAATGGGAATATTGTAACAGAATGGACAGAAGCAAAGATTGACAGGATTCAACCCTAACCCTGTCTCTACATGGGTATGTTAAAGAATCAAATATTTCAACCAAGTGCCGCCAGCAAGTATCCTTGTGGGCTCCCATCCCACATCAAACTGACATGTAACTGAATTGCTCGATGGAATCTCCAAGGGGCTGAAGGATAAATACAACTAACTCACCCAGTTTGGGTGCCTTTTGTTTCTTGATTGACTCCATATATGTTGAAAAGTTCTCCTCCAACTGCTCTGTGGTCATGTTCAGCTGGAAGCACATCAGAGATGAGTCACGATGGAACCATTATTCATGGGTCTGTTGCTCACAATATTGTTTATGGAATATGAAGAAAGTCCTGAGTAACAGGCAGAAGCCCCACTTTCAACATGACTGCTGTGCTTTTAAACTGAATGGGTATTCTGTTAGCTTGTTAGCATGTGGTTTTAGAAGACATATAAAACCTTTACAAACCTTGCATAACGACAAAACTCACACAGGTGCATGAGGTTTATCTCATCTATGGAAAGTATAAACTAGGGAATGAGAAGAAATAGAGAATCTCACCCGAGTGTCTTTTGATATCATATATATCACCTCCAGTTGATAAAGTTACAAATATCCGAGGCTTGCCGAGGAAATTTTTACTTTTATCAACAAGTGTTGATATATTTGATATCAGAAGACACGAGGGTGAGATTCTATTTATCATAAAAAATCACTCTTCTTTAGTTTTCAATGAAAAATGTACATCTCTAAACACGGTACTGCCATTAGACTTGCAGTGCAGCAGTGTCCTAGGATATATCGTTTGATCTCACACAAGCAATATCTCCTGTGGAACACAGTTCTGGATGATAAATGGGGTTTAATGTCTTACCAGTCTGGACTAATGCCGAACTAACTACAAGTGCTAGACAGCTGAGATACTCAACCATCGTTTAACATGGATCTCCTACTCGGACACTATAATCTGATGCCAAGTGAACAAGTCCTTGTTTTAACCCATTAATGTCAAGCGCCAGGCATTACCATCATTTAGCACAAATTGGCAAGACGAACTGAACAAATGTATCATTCTCAAGACATGCTCCACCCACAGATAGTCGCATCAGGATAATGGGACAAGCAAGGTAAACTGAGGACAAACTCCTCTTGAGCTTTATCACTGGACATGACGAGTTTACACAACGTTAACTTGAACAGAAACTACTCACAGCTCCCAGTGGTACTTGCAACTTTCCCAGAGCATCGGAGATTTTCGTGGAAGTGTAGGTGACGCCTTGGTTGAACAGCGTCATCATCTCCTCGACACTGGAACTCATGTTGCCTGTCGAGAGAAACCATGCACCCTATATTACCCACACCGAGGGTAAAGTGAGTGAGTGAGTGAGTATGGTTTTATGCTGCTTTTAGCAATATCCCAGCGGAGTACACCATGAATAGGCTTCACTAATTCCGTAAATGAGTGACACTGTCAAGACAACAGATGATGACCAAAGTCAATCTTAAAATATCTTCCACCACTTGACTATGAACAATGTAGTACACCAAAGAAGTTGACAACATCTGACAAATTCTTGTTGCAAGAGATTTGCCAGGACTTATTGATAGTAAAATGGATGTATTGAGGTTTTTTACCTTGTTTTGAGTCAATTTATTCTAATTATTTCAAAAGTATGACAGTACATTTCAATATAAGTATCCACTGTTAACAGTGTAATGAGCCAGTGGAGTATTATGTTTGTACACCTTGACCTCTGACGCTATTAGGTGACAAGCAGCCAAAGATAACAACTTTTATAACTCATTTGTTAATCTCTCAATCTCAAAGAATATTCATGGATTTCCAAGGAAGATGAGAACATGCAGAGTCCCTGAGGATCTGAGGTTGGAGAAGAGGAGAAGTTTATACAAACCTTTGCCTTTGCGTGGAAACATGTCCTTGAGTATTCCTCGCAGGGCCAGCATTTCCACCATTATGTCCGGCGTAGCAGGGCAAAGTCAAATTCACTTCTGTCAATTACCCCGTCAACAATCTAAAAGGAGATAATTCAGAATGACGAACAACAGAAACTGACAATTCCACACATACTGAACAGAAAGTGTCTTGTATTGTATGAATGTGAATGAATCAGAATAACACAAAAATACTGCCACGACACTGCAGTTCACCTTGAAATGTATTCACTACTCCTAAAACCTGTCAAAATTCAAAGCAACCTCATCCAAGGGTTCGGGTTCAACAAAAGTACTAGAATCTGTACTTAACTAAAACAAGTGTAATCCCAAATATAACATGTTAAAACTTCATTAAGTTGAATTCAGTGGTTATATTGAAAATCATATTTGAAATTAACCAATTCAGGTGTCATTATTGTAGAGTGAGTGAATATGGTTTTACTCCGCTTTTAGCAATATTACAGCAATATCATGGCGGGGGACACCAGAAATGGGGCATCATTGTAGAGAACAAGCCTGAAGTTTCAGATTCAAGTCAAGTTATTTTGAGGAGAGGATGTTTATAGTGCAACAAAAGTCAAAACCAAACTTCATTCAACAACAATAATGGCAGCCCCAAATACCTTTTTCAATGTGGCTGCCATGGCTCCCATATTGAAAATCATATATGAACAAAATGGAGTGACAAGAGTGTGAAGTTTCACTTTCATTGTTTTCGTGGTTTCAGAACCAAGCGATCACAGCACTACAGCAGTGGAAAGTTACATAAGTCGAAGCTTCATGACGGTATCAGTGTTCAGACAGCCATTGCTACTTGCACAGTTTAACATGGACTTGCAGCTGTCCTCTTGTGTTAGAGCTCGGGCACCCAGATTTCAATTATCATGACTCCCATTTTCACATGTCCCTGAGGTCACAGTTTGAAATAATCCCTTGTGGTGCAGTATGAGTTAATCCAGGTGTACGACCAATTCTCACCTGTTTGATGAGATCTGCATCTCCTACATAGACGGCACCAAGGTCCCTTGCCTTCTGCTGGTCTTCACTACTCTGTGGACAAACACCAGGTGCTCACACATAGGGGCCTGGAGTCACTACACTACCATCTTTGTTCAAACCAAGATATTTGACATATTTTTCACATTATCTATCTTTGTATGAACATATAAAACCGTGTTTAGATAGCCATAGTGATAGTCATATTACACCAGGAGACACCAAGAATGGACTTAACACATTTTGTTAAATGTCACAGTCTGCAATAATCTAGCTCATGACAGGAACCTTCATATAACAAAGTTGGCACCAAGGAGGAGCAGAGGAGCTTGGCATATTTTAGTAACAGAATATGTTATGGTCACTACTTTAAAACATGTTTTCTTGGAAAAGAAGAGTCAAATCACAATATATAGTTTTCTGAACATACAGGAAGTGTAGTGAACAATTTTTCATTTTTGTAAAACTTAAAGGAACATGAAATGACTGACTGACTGAGTTTGGTTTTACGCCGCTTTTAGCAATATTCCAGCAACATCACGGCGGGGGACACCAGAAATGGGCTTCACACATTGTACCCAACATGAAATGAAACTAATTCCAGAATATCCCTCGTGGCTGTTGAAAAGCTGATGGGTGAGTGAGCTGAATAGACCGGTACTAGTATACTGGTGCAACACGTACAAACCTTGCTGAACACTGCACACCTCTTCACAACATTATCGTCAAACGTATGGGGCAACATAATTGTTGAGCTAATACTGCGCATGAACTTGGTCTGAAATAAACATGTATTTATTACACAACCATGTTACAGAAAGGAGTCTAAATGAATGAATGAATGCACATGTGTGCATGAAAAACAATCACAAAAGTATAACATCAAAGTCCATATAAAAAAACTAATATATTACAAGTAAAATCAAAATCTGACGATTTTACTAAAAGTTATGTCGTATCATAAAGATCAATTACTTTCAAAAATGAAAACATTTTATAACCATGAACTCAAGCAAAATGATAAAAGTAGCAACATCATAATATGTTTGACGTATCAATGCAGTATCTACACAGACTGACTGACTGAGTTTGGTTTTACGCCGCTTTTTGCAATATTCCAGCAATATCACGGCGGGAGACACCAGAAATGGGCTTCACTCATTGTACCCATGTGGGGATTCGAACCCGGGTCTTCGGCTTGACGAGCCAACGCTTTAACCACTAGGCTACCCCACCGTCCCGTATCCACACAGCACAGGAGCCAGGGAGTTGGTTTCATGCTGGTTTAACACTATACCCAGATCACCATAGGGACACAGCAGACAAAGGCTCCACATTGCACGGGGAATTGAACCTGAGCCTCACTGTGACATGTGAGTCACCCTGCAACACCTTATAGACTGAAAATACATCTGACACGACATTTGATGAACGAACCTTCTTTCTTGTAGACATATTAAGTTCAAGGTCGGCATACACCAGTCCATCCATATTATCAAACATGCTTGGATCTGCATGTTCTTTATGTCTTTGCACACATTCCTCTAGGGTGTGGCAGTGAGGAGGGTACCGTGCCCGGATCCACACGTCATCGACAGGCTTCCTGTTTATCCAGTTCGGATGCTCTTTAGACTTATCTTTTTCTTTCTCTACCCTGTAACCAGTTGTCCACACAAGTAGTAAATAACAAAAACAAGTATCAGGGATGTATGTTTTTATATTTAACTTATTGTGACTAAAGCCTCTTTACCCACGCTGTATCAGTTTGTGAGAGGAACAACAGGGATGAGCAATCAGGCATTAAAATATAGGAACAGTTCAGAGTTCACGAGTTACTTCTTGGTGAGTTTGTAATGAAGATTTATAATGTTATCCAATAGATCTGAAGCTGGTGAATTGAATTTGAAACCAATTGCATAGCACTAACTTTGAAGCTCAGAACAATAAAAAAAACACAAAAAACTTTGAAGCTCACTGTGATCACAAATATTTGTAATACACTTTGTTGTGTTATCTACACAAGAAGAAATAGCACATAATAACCACAACCCTGCACTTTGTATTCTACACCTGTATTGTACTCGGAGATAACTACATCAGTGTCTCTCAGATACCATTTGTCTTATGTGTTGTTCCAAACATATCTAATGAGCTGACAGACATGGGTGTATCATCCTGTTTCTTGTGCACACTAAAATCAAACCGTTTTATGCTATGCTATGTGTGTGGTTTAATTCCCTACTCAGCAATATCCCAACTACATGGTGGCAGTCTGTATATAATTTAATCTGGACCAGGCAATCCAGTGAACAACAGCAATAAGCATCGATCTGCGCAATTGGGATATGATGACGTGTTTCAACTGGACTCATAAATTTGAACTGGATAAATCTGAAGTGGTCTCACAGATCTGAACTGACTTCACTGATCTGATCAGGGCTCATAGACCTGAACTAACCTCATATATCAGAACCAGCCTCACAGATCTGAGTGAGTGAGTTTAGTTTTACGCCGCACTCAGCAATATTCCAGCTATACGGCGATTGTCTGTAAATAATCGAGTGATCAACAGCATGAGCATCAATCTGCTCAATTGGGAACCGATGACATGCGTCAACCAAGCCAGCAAGCCTGACCACCCGATGCTGTTAGTCGCCTCTTACAACAAGCATGGGTTGCAGAAGGTTCATTCTAACCCAGTCCTTCATGGGTATCACAGATCTGAAGATGTCTTACAGATCTGAACTGACCTCATATATATTTGAATGGGACGCACTGGTCTGAACTAAACTCAAGAATATAACCTCGCAGATCTGAACTGGAACACAGATCTGTATTTACCCAACTGATCTCACAGGTCTGAACTCAACTCAAGGATATACCCTTGCAGATCTGAACTGGAAGTCTGGAACACAGGTCTGAACTTACCCAACTGATCTGAACTGGTCACATAAATCTGAACTGAACTCAAGTGAGACCTCGCAGATATGAACTTAGCAAACTGATCTGAAACAACCTCACAAATCTGAACAGGCCTCACATATCTGAACTGACATTACTCATCAAAACAGGCCTCGCATATCTGAACTGACCTCATATATATGAACTGGCCTCACAGGTCTGAACTGGCCTCACAGATCTGAACTAACCTCATATATCTGGACTAGCCTCAGATCCGAAGTCTTACAAATCTAACTGACCTCATATATATACGAAGTGGCCTCACAGATCTGAACTGAACTCACTGATCTGAACATGCTTCACAAATCTGAACAGGCCTCACAAATCTGAACAGGCCTCACATATCTGAACTGACCTTCCTCATCAAAAAGGCCTGGCATATCTGAACTGACCGAATATATATGAACTGGCCTCACAGGTCTGAACTGGTCTCAGAGATCTGAACTGACCTCACAAATCTGAACAAGCCCTTAATCAGAACAGGCCTCACAGATCTGAACTGACCTCACGGATCTGAATTGGCACAGATCTGAATTGTCACACAGATCTGAACTGAGCTCATATCTGAACAGGTCTCACATACGTGAACAGGCCTCACAGATCTGAACTGACCTGACACATATGGATTAACCTCATTCATCTGAACTGACCTGACATACATGGAGTAACCTCATTCATCTGAACTCACCTGACATATATGGAGTAACCTCATTCATCTGACTGACTGACTGAGTTTGGTTTTAAGCCGCTTTTAGCAATATTCCAGCAACATCACGGTGGGGGACACCAGAAATGGGCTTCACACATTGTACCCATGTGGGGATTCGAACCCGGGTCTTCAGCGTCATTCATCTGAACTGACCTGACATATATGGAGTAACCTCATTCATCTGAACTGACCTCACATATATGGAGTAACCTCATTCATCTGAACTGACCTCACAGATCTGAACTGACCTCACATACATGGAGTAACCTCATTCATCTGAACAGGCCTCAGATCTGAACTGACCTCACATATATGGAGTAACCTCATTCATCTGAACTGACCTCACATATATGGAGAAACCTCATTCATCTGAACTGACCTCACATATATGGAGTAACCTCGTTCATCTGAACAGGCCTCACAGATAGGAACTGACCTCACATATATGGAGTAACCTCATTCATCTGAACTGACCTCACATATATGGAGTAACCTCATTCATCTGAACTGACCTCACAGATCTGAACTGACCTCACATATATGGAGTAACCTCATTCTTCTGAACTGACCTCACATATATGGAGTAACCTCATTCATCTGAACTGACCTCACATATATGGAGTAACCTAATTCATCTGAACTGACCACACTGATCAGAATTGACCTCACTGGTCTCAAACTTACCGAACTGTTTTTGCTTTCACCCATTTCTCCTTTTCCTTGGCTACATGTGGCTGGCGCAACTTCTGACTCTTCGACACCTTCCATCGGACCGGTGTCACTGCAAGTGTTGGGGTGGCTCGCTGTAACAACGCTGATCGGAGCTGAAGCAGCAGCACTGGTCGTAGTGCTAGGGATGGAACATCAAAAGAACACTTCTGTATAGGAACAGCGAGACATTTTACTTGTTCATGTGCATGACAAACAGTTTTACCAGTTTGATGAGCCTCACGATCACTGTTATGGTTTTGACAAACCAGGTGCTAACCCAAAATACAGCAACAGTAAATTGCTGCTGCGATAAACAGTGACAACAAATTGCTACTTCTCCTAAATAAAGCTAAAGTTGACTGTTATCCAGTGACAAATTGCTACTATCATGATATACAGTGAGAGATTGTTTGAATATTTTTGTTGCAGGGTTTGTAACAAGCAGATTTTGCAATGAAATTGGAAGATCTTTTCACATATTGCAGAGACAGCTTTGGAGTAACAAGCATGTCTATTGATTAGAACATAATTTTGGATTGTGATGTTGTACAGTAAAATAAAGTCATACCATAGTCTTTAACTTGGCACAGTGAGTGAGTTTAGTTTTACACCGCTTTTAGCAATATTCCGGCAATATCACAGCCCAGAAATGGGCTTCACACATTATACCCATGTGGGGAATCGAAACCCGGGTCTTCGGCATGACGAGCGAACTCTTTAACCATTAGGCTACCCCACCACCCCACTTGGCACAGGACATAGACATAATTATCTGTACAGAACTACACAACTAGTTTCATAATTATGATGCTCATGTGACATGTCTGTCTTTATGACTGACTGAGTTTGGGTTTTACTCCGCTTTTAGCAATATTCCAGCAACATCACGGCGGGGGACACCAGAAATGGGCTTCACACATTGTACCCATGTGGGGCTGTCATTATGAAGTATCTATATATTCAATCACTTTTCCCCAAAGACAAATGTACTTGAAAATGGTATTTCTTTCTTTTGAGGGACAAATTATAATGCAACTATTTTCTCCTGACATTGTCAGTACAACAATGTTATGCAGTACCATAACAGGGGTTGCCAATGAGAGATAAATACTAGTAAAGATGTGAAGCAAACTTCATTTTAGGTGATGTTCACTGCTTACTATACAAGTCTATACACATATGCACATATGGTCAAACCAATGTCATTCTTTACAGTTCTTCTCAGTGCACCAAACAGTATCTTATTCAGTTATTTCTGTGTGTTGTTGTATTGCAGCCCTGTGCTATTGTTTCAAGCAAGCCTGTTCAACTCAGGACTGCCACCTGCTTAGACTCTTTCAAGTCCAACATCAAAATATTTCTGTTCTGGAAAGCATATTCCTGCTAAACAAATTTGTAGCACTTTGAGCATGCACTAGGGAATGGAGTCTAGCGCTCTACAAATAAACTGTATTATTATTATAAAGTAGTTTTTATCCACAGTTCCATGTTTTTCTGTACTTCAGAAGAATATTGTTGAAAGCTTACTCACACATCTTCTATAGAAAACTTCTAAATCCCAATCAAAGACCACAATAATTGAAATTTTCAAGAAAATGTTGATGCTACATATTTCCCAAGAAGAAGTAACTAAGTATTGTTTGTGAAATTCTGCCCCAGTTAGTCGGAAAGTTCGACAGTGGAACAACACTATTTGTTTAGGGTATCGGTCACGTGACCTCTTTCGCCTCTGTCTTTTTCATGTTGAGTGGAAAGGGTGTCCGTATCGTCAGATTTCCCACAAAACACAAATACGGACTCGCCTGAGCGTAATGAAAACACATGGAGGTAAATTATTAACTAGTTGTTTAGGCGCTATTAACAATGTGCCGACGGGAGACCCAATCAGCTGGGGCCCACATATCTCAGCGACTTTTCCCGACTTTTTCAATTTCAGATGCTAAAATGTTGCATGGATGTTTAAATTGGAATGGTTATCGTCATTGTAGCAAATGTTTGTGTTACCAGTGACGGATAATGTTTGGTCTGTTAACCATACACGCCAAATGTACCAACACAATCCACCTGTAGAATGCTCATCCCTTCATCAATTTAATTTACTCTGGATAAACATTGTTGACAGCACGCACCTGTTATGGAGGTCGCCATATTTGATAAGGGAGGTAATTTATTTTGCTTAATTTATTTCAAAGGTAGTATATTGTATTTCAGTTGTAAGATTTAAACGTATATTTAACCAAAGGGATGTCTGTTTGGATATATATACATAAATTTTTCCTCCGAAAGTTTTTGCTTGAGAGATAGCCAATAGAATCACTCCTTACATAGACGGTATAGGAGCCGAAGAGCAAAGTCGGCCATTTTCTTCTTCAGACAGAATATCGATGCTACCAGAAAATTGAAACAGCTGATTGAGTGATCTCGTTCAATTATTTATTCCTTTTAGGATTATCGATGAAGGTATTATTCTTTGATCGCCGGTGGTTGTTGCCATTTCACCTATTGTCATCAATTCTCCACCAGACGCAGGGGTTTCTTGTCATAAAGTTGGAATTGTCATGTGTCAAAATCGTTTTTGTTAAAATGAAATAAGGTCAAATGATAAACGACTTTTATTTGATTTTGTAACTTAACCATAACTTTTTGTATATCATCTGGTTATTTATTTTATTGACACTAGGTTCAGGTTGTCTATCCTTATCATTAAGCTTTATTTCTGTATCAGTTTACACTGTTTCATGTTCATAAATATGAGGTAATAATGACATGCCAATGAACAATATTAAAGTGATATTCAGCGTATATTCTATGCAAATATTAGTCAAATCATGACATTTTATAATAACAATTAAACACAGAGTATTAATATTGGGTGATTTCATGCTGGATAACAATGTTAGAGTGTTTGTTTATATTTAATAGGTGTATTCTACCTGGAAATGTGTTTCTTTTGATGAACATCATGTAGCATGTGAGGCCAAAATAGTGTGGTTCAATTTGGAAATCTGAGGATGGATACTGCCACACATGAAATATTTGCTGAGGACACAGTCAGTTTTTCTATCATTATGCCAGTGTTTAAGCTAAACCTACTTGAGGGCTCTGTGGACAGCCTTGATAAATAAAGTAACAAACACAGAGTCAGTGTCTCCAGGAATTTAACAAATGTAATCTGTAAATCATGTTGGGTATGGTGAGTAAGATGCTGTGCTCATGAGGTGGGATATGGGCCTTACAGATGCCATAGGATATAATTATTTTCAAGCTGAATATTGATAACATATTCAGGGAGGTTTGGGATACAAAAAATTAGCATTTATATTTTTCATTTGTTTTCTTAAGAAAATTATTGCTAAAACCATTTTTTATGTTTAAAAATGCAAAATGTGGTTTGTAGATCATGTAGGTAGGAAAACCACTGAACATAAAAGTTCTGATCATATTGACATTTTTGTTCCACAGTCTGTCATATGATAGCCTGGTTGTCATGTCCAGCTGTTACCTTTGTCTTCTACAATCCAGGTGAAGGCATGAACCAAAAATATTGGAGTATGTTTTACATCATCATGGGACTGAGTTTCTCTTCCTGTGATTAAAAATTACCTTTGAAGAAACTTTAAATTGATAAAATGATATGAAGAATTATTCCACACATTAAGAAGTGTTAATACCTGTGCATTGATATGTGTTGAACCACATGGTATTTAGATTTGTTTATACAACTTTGATTTTTAAAAAGAGTTAAATTAATTTAAAATAAATTTTAAATTTGGTAAAGTTCTAATTTTGAAATTGCTTTAATTTAACAAGGCACAGACAGCTGAATTGTTGTGAAGATGTATAGTACCATAATAAGAGTTGGATTTGTTCATAGCTTGAAATTTAAATAACAAGATCCATGTAATTGAAAACATATTCTACATATGTAGGAAGTAGACCCAGCTGATAACTCTCTTGATATGTATCACTACTTTGATATTCACAAAACATCATGTGATTTAACAAATGGTAACGTTGAGAAAAGTTGCCAGATTACACTGTTCTTTCACATGATACAGACCAAATTTACTACCACACGTGCCTCTCTTAAATTTTAATAGTCATTGGTAGTAATCAACACCTGTTGTACCTGGTGTTGTCTAATGGTAGCACAATTCTCTGTGAAGGGTTTTGTCTCTCAGTGACATCCCAAATGTAGGGTAGTTGGTTCAAATCCAGGTTCACATCTGTCATTTTTCTTGATCTGTTTTCGATAACTAATGCACGTCACCAAAGGGATAAATGTTTGAGAGCAGCATCTTTTCGGGCTTACCACCCACATTAACCTGACACACTAGGATGCAACTGGAATACTGTTCGAAATGATGTAAATCCCAAATCACTCACTCAGGTGTAAACTGGAATAATGCAGCATTAGACACTCATTGTAAATAAGGATTAGTTGGGCACAAAGTGTAATGAATCATTTGTCATGCTAACTGGAGTGTAAAACAGCATTCATTCCGAAAGGTCTGGTTTGCTTAACATCAGTAACTTGTTCATGCCTTTTCTTTTTATAAAATAACTTTTTAGATTGACATTCAGGTCTGCACTGCGTCTTGATTTCAGTACTATTTCCAAGAATGCCAAAGGAAAAGTATGAGTCACCTAACCCTAGGAGGACACATACACTTATGTCACCAGAGGATGTAGCAGCGGGTAAAAAGTCTTCCTGGTATGAACTGGAGATTACAGGTACGTTCAGCTTCACCTTCAACCATCTAGCTTGTATCATGGGAATGACAGTAAGGCGTAATGTTGTGTTTGCTGTAAGCGGGAAAGTCCACGATCAAAATTCCTCATATTGAGGTAGCCTGTAGAAATTGGGATGCTGAAGCAGGAGTTTCCTCATTATGATGGGGCTAAACGCTGATCTCTTGAGAATGTCAGGAGAAGTACTTTATACAGTGAAGCAATGCGTATCTCGATATAATGGGGAAAATTAGACCCATACTGAGTTTCCGTTATCCGGTATATACCGGACTTTGATCAATGCAAAGTTAGAATGTCTGCCAAATTTTAAAATCAATTTTCTAATTACCTCTGTCAATTTTATTTCTGCTCGAAAAAGATTGTTTTCACAATGACTTTGGCGTGTTGTCAAATAAAAAATAGCAGTTTGGGAAAACCCTAGGCTGAAAATAGCAGCATTGATGTATTGTGATACCCTCTACATTTTTTATTGGGTGTTAGGGTGCAAGGTCTCGTGCGCAATGAAAAGAGTGATCACTTGAACGGTAAAATTTACAAATGACCGGTATTTGAAATGCTAGCCAGTCAAAATGTCCAGCTGTAAAATATGCCAGCGGAAACACTGCCCATATCATATGAAAGTTCCATGAAAAGAATTAATGAAAAACCAAAACAACAGTAATTATCTTGAAAATGAAATTTTGTACAAGTTTTGTGTAGTGTTTACTAGGGGTGTGACAATTCATCGATATGCATTGATATATCGATACATGGGCCGCCGATACAGTGAATCGATGCAAAGTTTTACATTGTTGTATATCCCGATACGATACTTCAAATGGGCAATGATACATCGATGTTTCACTTTGAATATGGGCGATGGGGTAGCCTAGTGGTTAAGCGTTGGCTCATCAGGCCGAAGACCCGGGTTCGAATCCCCACATGGGTACAATGTGTGGAGCCCATTTCTGGTGTCCCCCGCTGTGATGTTGCTGGAATATTGCTAAAAGCGGCGTAAAACCAAACTCGGTCAGTCAGTCAGTCACTTTGAATATTGCCGAATCGCGATATGTGTCAAGAAAAAAGATTCACTTTTGTTTGATGATTAAAATATTTGCTCACTTATTTTCCCTTCATAAGGAAATGTTCTCTCGGAAATTCTTGCATCAAGAACTGTGTCAGACAGCACTCACATGCTATTATCATTCACAAAGTCTGTGTACAAACTTAATTATCTTGTTTCCGAATGAACATTGAAAAATGCTGGCAGAATTTGACGAAATACTTTAAAAGGGTTTTGTTTTGATATTCAGGTGTTTTATTGTTGGTGTTAGAATGAAATATTTTAGTATCGTGATGCATATCGTATTGTCACCCTTATATTGGGATTCGTGTCGTATCGCAGCATCAGTGCACGATACTTTTGCCATATATTGTCGTGACTAAAATTTTAGCAACGTGATGTATTTTTATCGCAGGTTGTATGCCAATACCATCACTAGTGTTTACTGTAGGATGTAACCTACATGGTGGCACCAAATATTGCAGTGTTCCAGTACTGAATCGTTGCTGTGTACTGTAGGATGTAACCTACATAGTGGCACCAAATATTGCAGTGTTCCAATACTGAATCGTTGCTGTGTACTGTAGGATGTAACCTACATAGTGGCACCAAATATTGCAGTGTTCCAATACTGAATCGTTGCTGTGTACTGTAGGATGTAACCTACATAGTGGCACCAAATATTGCAGTGTTCCAATACTGAATCGTTGCTGTGTGTACTGTAGGATGTAACCTACATAGTGGCACCAAATATTGCAGTGTTCCAATACTGAATCGTTGCTGTGTACTGTAGGATGTAACCTACATAGTGGCACCAAATATTGCAGTGTTCCAATACTGAATCGTTGCTGTGTACTGTAGGATGTAACCTACATAGTGGCACCAAATATTGCAGTGTTCCAATACTGAATCGTTGCTGTGTACTGTAGGATGTAACCTACATAGTGGCACCAAATATTGCAGTGTTCCAGTACTGAATCGTTGCTGTGTACTGTTGGATGTAACCTACATAGTGGCACCAAATATTGCAGTGTTCCAGTACTGAATCGCTGTTGTGTACTGTAGGATGTAACTTACATAGTGGCACCAAATATTGCAGTGTTCCAATACTGAATCGTTGCTGTGTACTGTAGGATGTAACCTACATAGTGGCACCAAATATTGCAGTGTTCCAATACTGAATCGTTGCTGTGTACTGTAGGATGTAACCTACATAGTGGCACCAAATATTGCAGTGTTCCAATACTGAATCGTTGCTGTGTACTGTTGGATGTAACCTACATAGTGGCACCAAATATTGCAGTGTTCCAATACTGAATCGTTGCTGTGTACTGTAGGATGTAACCTACATAGTGGCACCAAATATTGCAGTGTTCCAATACTGAATCGTTGCTGTGTACTGTAGGATGTAACCTACATAGTGTCACCAAATATTGCAGTGTTCAAATACTGAATCATTGCTGTTTACTGTAGGATGTAGCCTACATAGTGGAACCACATATTGCAGTGTTCCAATACTGAATCGTTGCTGTTTAGTTCTGTATCTTTAATGCTCCATTTACAAGTTTCTTTGAATTTTACATTAATGCTATGTTATGATGTCATCAAAAAGATCTTACTGTTTTTGTTGTTGTTGTTGAAGCATTGAAAAGCCATACTTT